TTAAAGATGTCGATGAATGCGTGGAAGGATCACATGACTGCTTTCCAAACTTCGCCACCTGCGTAAACATTCCTGGTTCATATAACTGTGTCTGTAGTCATAGTTACGCGGAAGACCACACCTGTCTGCCAGCAGGTACTGAGTACTAGTCGTTCTGAACTAAATTGTGTACTAGATACCAGTTGTAAAGATATATTCCTTAGAATTTGTCTACACAAAAGCGATTCGAGTTTGATAATCGATTGATTGACATTGAATTTATTGATTTTGCACTGATAATTGCAGATAAATGTATATGGTACATTCTCATACAATACTGCCAGTCCCACCATATTTTTATTCAAAGCAGTTTCCCAAACCACCCTATGTAATAATATTCCAGTCCTTCCAATCCGCCTCTTTCTCTATTAGCATCTATTCTACCCCATTATTGAGTTTAGCAAGCATTAATAGTTAACTCTGAGGAATCCCGCCCTGTACTGTAAGATACAACGCACGCTACCTTTCTCGTCTTGCTATCCGATGCTTAATTAAAATGTTTTGTTTGCTTATCCGGACACTTTTACTGTATCCTTTATGAGGTATACTTGACGCTCACCGCTAACATTTGGCTTCCAGTAGTCGTTCTTTCAAATTGCCTGTATCCTTTGCTCCCTCCCTATGTTGATAATCGCCAAATATTGTCAAGCAGATAAAAGTAAAATTTTGTCACAACGTTTCGTCGTTCCATGATAATATTATTTTGCGGTGTTACAAGCGTGTTGACCCCATAAGGAGGAATCCAGCTAGCGGTCAGGGTGGTACTTAAACTCGGGGGCACCGGATTACAAGTCCAGCTCAGCTCGACCCCGCGCTATAACCTCGAGGCCAAGCTGCCTCCTGCCTGGTTTGCGATTAGTCCCTAAACAACACTTTGCGCATGGTTGACAATTTTCAATGTCCCTGGTAAATGAACCAGTTGCTCGCATCATGCAGTGTCTGTGAAATGCTTTGAGGGTTCATCCACTAGTCATCATCTGTACTTAATTTAATTTGTGAATGATTCTTAATTACTTTCTCTCTCCTACTTAGAATGTGTAAATTATCGACGCATTACCAATGCTGACAGAAAAGTCACGAACGGAAAAGTTTCAGTGCAATGTGACAAAACAATAGACACCGCATGGTACAGGTTCGAAGGCGCGGCAGGGACAAGGATGCCGACGTCATGTCCGCCTTTATATAAGTGTAACACAAACGCTCCCGGCTGGCTGAGGGGCGGACACCCTAGCGTGGCAGATGGTCAGGTTACTAGAAAGGCGTGTTTTCACTGGTCATACTGTTGTTCTCTCTCTACCAACATCAAAGTAAGGAACTGTGGTTCCTATTATGTCTACTACCTCAAGAGTACTGGAAGTTGCTGGTATCGCTACTGTAGTACCGACTAAAATATTAATATGTAGTCAGAGTATTGAGTAGGTTAGCTCTACTTAATATATGACACCCTTTTGTTAATAACGTCAGTTATTGTGTATCTATTTCTTTTATCCTTCTTTATTTTAACTAAGAACAGACACTGAGGGATTGTTAGCTTAAGCTTCATTTACCTTAACGTGGCATGGCGTAGCTGCCGTTTAACGAGAGGGAAGACAATTCAAGATTTAAAAAAAAAAAAACAATGAAAACCTGTAAAGAAAAACTGTTTTCACTTTGTCTAGTTCAAGATAACATGGCCTTAGACACTTTAATTTCATTGTAAAATGATGTATATGTGATTTCCATGTTAAATGTTCATTGAAAATTACACCAAGAAAAGTAGCTTCCTTAGCACATTCAATCGAATTCAATCGAATTACTAAATGTTAAAAGCTAAATCGGATCAATTGTTTGCCTGTTTTGTCTCAGTCTGAATAAGATAAAATTAGACTGATTTCTTAACATTAATAGATAGCTCATTTGTATAGAACCAACATGTTATCTTTTTCAATTCTAAATTTACAACTTTCATAAGATAGGAATCATCAGTATGCAAATAGAAGATATTAGTGTCATCAGCAAATTAAATATCAGCTTAAAGACCTTTGACACATTACATAGATCATTAAAATATACTAAGAACAACAGGGGACCTAAGATAGAGCCCTGAGGTACCCCGCAAGTAATATCTAATAATGAAAAGTTATAACCATTGTATTGCACAAATTGTTTTCGACAAGCAAGATATATAACTTTTAAACCATTGTAAAACAATACTACCGTACTCCATAATCAGGCGTAATGTTCTAATTTGTTCAGCAGAATTTCATGATTTACTGTATCAAAGGCCTTAGATAGGTCAATGAATAGGCCTAAAGTCACCTTCTTAGTATCAAGTGCATTTGAGATCTTGTCATACACTTGGAATAAAGCATGTGCAGTAGAATATTTTTTTTCTGAATCCAAAAAGATTGCGGGAAAGAATGTGATATTTGTCAGTTTAAAAAATAATTTTAATGAATTTCGAGAAAACCGGTAAAACTGATGCAGGTCTGTAATTTGTGAATGAAGAGTTATCGCCAGATTTAAACAATGGAATAACTCGTGCAATTTTCATTTCTTGGCCCCAGAGAGACAATATAGTTGTTGGATGCGAAGAAGGAACAGGCAGTAGTTCATTTGTTACGCTTATCGGCCGAAGTCACACACAGCAGTAACTGCATGTTAGGCAACAATAGAACAGCTGGGTTATTCACTGTTGTATTTATAAGCAATGCCTGTCACAATCTCTTGCAGCAACCAAACCCTTCTATTCTTTCCGTCATTGCTACTTTTGTTCAAGCCAAAAACTGTACAGAATATTGTTCTGTATTATTTATCTATTTTCCCAAGGTTATCAGCTGCAATAATCGGTTAAACTGTCAACAAAACACTTGGCTTTAACGCGAGTCATTGGTGTATGCAAGGGCACAACACTGTTTTAAAAATTGAGCACTGCACGTGCACAGTTCTGACACTAGTCGGTATCAAGAACGACTCATAGCAATTAACTGTTAGGCAATTTGCTGCATTATGTTGCGCTAGATTTCTATCACGGGATTCATGCTATGTTGAAATCCATGTTGATGCATGCAAGAGCTCGAGTGTCATGTCTGCGTTACAACCTAAGCTTCCAACATGATTTGGGAACATGTTCAGTCGGCTAATCAAGCAAAAGGAAACGCTCGCCTACAAACGCACATACACTCGCTTGTTAGTCTAATAATTTTGCATTTCACAGAGCAACTTGTAAGGCCATAAAAACAGCAGCCGATTTGTTTATAAGAATTAATTAGGGATTATAAAGGCGGTCTGTAACGTACGCCAATGCGTGTTTTATTTTAGAGATCGAGAAAAAAGCCAGTAACACTTGTAAAGGCTGAACAACTTTAATATGAACACAAGCTGAATTCGCCAGCAACATTCAGTGTATGAACGTTTTTTTACAAAATATATTTTTGTAAAAAAGCTGTCCTTTTACAAATATATACCAGTATAAAAAAAAAAACAGCTTACGGTGCCGTTTTTTTTACCATATATATTACATAAAAAACGGTCCTTGTAAAAAAGCGTCATTTTTACATAAAAAGCTGCTTTTTTGCAAATTGATCGGTTGTAAAAATACTTCTTTTTTATGTAAAAAGCCGGCTTTTTTACAGCAATTTATTTTTGTAAAAAAGCTGCTTTTTATGTAACAACCCTGCTTTTTTACAAATTGAGCGGTTGTAAAAATATATTTTTGTAAGAAAGCTGTCTTTTTATGTAAAAATCCTACTTTTTTGCACCTATAAAATTTCGTGAAAAAAAGAGTTTCATGCTCTTCCTTCAGACTATTTGACAAACCATTTATCGCAGACAGACTACTTTCTATAGCATGGTTCGAACTTTATTGAACTGTAGTTTTCGTGCGCTTCTCAAACTATACGTTATAAGATATCCGGCTAGTCACGTTCACGTTCCGTGTCTCCTTTATTGTGGGACTTTTAAATTCCCTTGTTAACTCGCTGAAAACTTTAAAAATTTACGTTCTTTTTATTATTTTTATTATTTCTTCTTGTTTCCTTTGTCATTCAATTTTCCAGGACCTTCTAATTGTTGGATGCGAAGAAGGAACAGACAGTAATTTCATTTGTTATGCTTATCGGCCAAAGTCACACACGGCAGTAACTGCATGTTAGGCAATAATAGAATAGCCTGGTTATTCACAATCTTATTTATAAGTAATGCCTGTCACAATCTCTTGTAGCAACCAAAGCCTACTATTATCTCCTTCATTGCTACTTTTTTTCAAGCAAAAAACTGTACAGAATATTGTTTTTTATCATTTATCTATTTTTCCAAGGTTATCAGCTGCAATGATCGGTTTAGCTGTCAACAAAACACTTGGCTATAACGCGAGTCATTGGTGTATGCAAGGGCACAACACTGTTTTAAAAATTGAGCACTGCACGTGCACAGTTCTGACACTAGTCGGTATACAGCAAATACAAGAGCAATAATCGCTTTTTCAGTGGAGTTTGCCATTTCCTTTTTTGCTTTGATGCTGTCACGCGTTCTCTTAACACCCCGCGTGGGTTATCACGCCGGTAAACCCATAGAAAGTGTGGTCTATTGCTTAAAAATAGCTGTATGACTATGAATGTGTAAAAATTAAAACATGCTGGCAATACCACGGTACGCACCGTATTTTTCACCCAAATTAAACTTATTTGTTCGTACGGTAGCTAAACCAGTGAAACCTCGCATGCCGTCTTCCACTTGAAAATTTTGATTCAGAGCTGTATAATACTGAGAACAATACCAACAAATATTAGCCCCTAGGGGGTAATATTAAAAGCCGTAATTAAAGCAGTTCCTTTCACGTTTGGAAAGTACTAGATAAATCGAAAGCGTAATTTTCGCTTTTTTCCGCCATCACCTACATGTAGTTTTAGCTTGCAAAGAAATTAGCGTCCGATAGCCTAGGAAAAGTGGATTTTGGTATCGGGCTAGTGAATTGAAATGAATATTGAGCAAGTACATACTAGCTAAAGCTAGTGCCCGAATGGCAAGCTGTAAAACTGACTTTCTTTGCATCCTGAGTTTACCGGAGACTGATATGTCTATATGCTTTTACATGCAGTGGAACGTCTTCTACAAAGCGTCTTGTAAGCTCTTCGATAAAAAGTAAGTACAGCGGCTGTTGTTTCGTTACCACCCACTCTGATAGACTGGGAAACCAGATGCTAAGTGAGAGCCGGAAAAACGCCTAGATCTGCGTTTGCAGGTTTAAATACCTTCCCTCACCGCCCCCCCCCCCCCCCCCCCCCCCCGGCCCCCCCCCCCCCCCAAGGTTTTGGGCAACAGTTCCCAACCCCCCCACATTGGGGGGGGGCCCCCCAAAACAATCCCCCGCACCAGAGAAGCATTTTATAAAAAAGCGGGGGCTGAAAAAAAAAAAAAATTTTTATGGGGAAAAATAAAAAAAAGAAGAGCAACAAAAACAGAAAAAAAAAAATAAGGGTTTTGAAAGCTCTTCGTAAAAAAGGAAGTGCACGGGCTGTTGTTTCGTTCCCCCCCAACCTGATAGATTGGGAAACCGGATGTAAAGTGAGGGCCGGAAAAACGTCCTGTTCTGCCTTTGCAGTGTTAAATACCTCCCCCCACCCCCCCCCCCCCCCATCCTCGCAGGCTACCCCACTGCTCGAAGGTTTGGTGCAACTGATTCCAACGCCACTCAATTCGAGGATGGCTCCAGATAACACTGACCTGAACCAGATGAGTCATTGATATGACAGCGGAGTCTTGAAAGGAAAAAAGCTTATTTAGTAGGAAATTAAGAAGAAGGAACGCCAATGTAACAGGAAAAGAAGTCAGAGAATAGAGGTGCGATTATGTTTTGTGTCGTTATATACTGATTACGGTTAAGGAATAAAATGTAAAATGGTTAGCTTTTATTACTCTTTTGGAATCTCCATAGAAATGCTATAACATTACGGCTATTGGTACCGACTGCTCTTTTAATGTAGTGGTTAAGTAAGAGGTAGATGTAAATGTAGGAAAACGGGTTCAAGGCTCCCTCTCGGTCTCTCTCTTTTACTTTGGTGGTCTTTCTTCTATTTTCTTTAAAACTAAGAAATATAAGATAAATGGTTTAGGTCGATGTTATCTGTAGTTTCTTACTCAATTCGATCATTCGCCCCATGATACCTTGCGGGATGCGTCCAAACTTCCGCCGCCTTTGTGTTTTCCATATAGTGAATGGGATTCAAAATAGACTTGACTGTCCAATCAAATGGTTCAGTTTTAAATTAAATTCACATTCATGAGTGACTTTTGCCTCGATTTATCGATTTATCTCATTTTTTTGGTTTAAGCAGAACAAACAATCTAACGGAGTTTACAGTGAAAAAAATCTGTTGAAGGAATTCTTGATGAAGAACTTGATCCTTGG